TAAACATTTGCTGAAGGATGCATCTGAGACCCTTTTACTGCCCCTACTGTGACAAAGAATGGATTTTAAAATAACTGGAAAGAGCAAACACAGCAAGGGCTTCGGCTGAGCATAGCAGACTAAACCCATGCACTGACCAATCCCTTCACCAACCCCACTAAAAACACTCTAAAGGAGACAAAGGCAAAGATCCCACCATAAAGAAAGAGAGCAGAAGGGCCCTCGACTGCAGACAAAAAGATTAGCAAGATTGGGGTGGAGGGGACAGGCAGCTACTGAGAAATGGCTCAGCAGGCTGGACAACAGGGAACCCTGGCTGGCGATGGGAACTTGATGTTTTCTATCTCTGAGCCCAGAGAGGCTGGCAGCTGAGGGCCCCTGACACCTCTGAAAACAGGAGTTGGGGGCTTTTAAAAGGAGGATTAGTGGAAAGACTTTCAAAGCCCTAGCTCCCCTTCCAACCAGACAGAAGATAGGTTTACTCCCTGAGGAGGTAAGAGAAGACAGGTTCCGGAGGCCACCGCACATGCCAGGAGGGCCAACCGAGGACACAGGACTGACTCAAAGTCCAGATAATGACCACTGGGCGCGCCTGGCCCTGTTTCCCCGCTGTCTCCCAGGCCTCTGGGACGGACAGGCTGGTGTCTTTGCAAGCCCCCATCCCTGCACCCATCCCCATTCTTCACAGACTGCAGATGTCTGTCCACCAGGCCTCCAGTCCCCATCTTCCCCAACCCCAAACCTGCAACTTTGTCACCTTTCTCTCAGCTAATTTCACGCAAACTCAATTGGGCCTTAGCCCAGGCGAGGTCTTAAATACGTACTCACTGAAATCCAATTAACCTTCGATAAAGGTCCTGCAATCAATAGTCGTCCTGTGGCTTGAGGAGGCTCTATCCAGCCTGGGAACACACGTTCCCACACGACCTTTACTTATAATGAAATCAATGACAGCCACTGTCACCAATTCTTAAAGTGACTGGCAAATATGATCATCGGGTCAGGCCCTCAGTGATATCTGCTTCTGGGCTCAGAGACACAAACAAACAAGGGCCCCCGCCGGCTGCTGACCCGCTACAGCCCCGCATTCCCCCGCAGGTGAAAACACCTGGGCAGGGTTGCCTCTCGCCCAAAGGTGCCCAGACCCTCTGGCCTTGTGACAGGTGGTTCCTGAACTTCAGTGAATATGTGAACCACCTGGAGAGTTTGTTAAAATGCAGATTCTTTTACCCAGCCCCCGAAACCCTTCCCGCTTAGTAAATTTGGGGTGGGGCCCAGGATTCAGCATTGTTAAATAAGCCCCCTGGTGACTGAAAGAGATGGCTCCAGTCCTAGATCCCAGCAAACTGAGAATCCTTGCTCTCTGAAATATCCAGGCAGGACTACGCACGAAGTCCAGCTAATCCAAAACCTTCGGTAAGAAAACTGAGGCCCAGAGAGTGAGAGTGACTTGTCCAAGGTCACACAGTCACTGGCAGAGCTGAAGCTTTAACCCAGGTCTCTTGCCTCCTAATCTGGTGTTTCGTCACCAGAGTCTCGGGAACTGGTCTTAGGGTCCTCACATGCGAGGCCCAGCTGGGCTGGGATGCTATGGGGTGAGGGGGCTTCTTCAAAGTGGAGTGGGGATGATTCGACCAGTCGTTGGAGGGGTCTGGAGCTATCGCTACCCACCTCAGGAGGGGTTCCTTCTAGAGGCGCTTCCGGCTGAGCCCCACCTTCCAGCTGGGCCATCAGCTTACAGTGGCCAAGATGCCACTAACCACCCTGCCCCCCAGGATTTGAGCTGAGCTCTTTGCCCCTTGTCATTCCTATCTGTCCCTTGTACTTCCCTCCCCAAGGAACATAGAGCCAGGCTGTCCTCAGGAGGTAGAGTCATTCCAGGGATAGGCTCATTGAGTCTCAGAGTCTTGGGGAGACTTTGGAACCTCAGAAGCCTGTTAGAAACTTTCAGTAACATGGAGGCTCCCACACTCTGCACGCAAGCATGCACTCACACACACCTGTCTTCCATGAGGCCTGTGGCTTTGATATTGGTTGGTAAGAGACGTAATAGATTGATTTCGGCAAAGTCAAGCCCATTGCTAATCTACTCTCAACATCACCAATGGTTGGTGACACCACAGTAGAACAAATGGCCCATGGCCCCCTGTCCAGCCTGAGGTTTCTATGGAAGTATTTAATGGCATCATCTCAGAATATCAAGAGCTTCCTGAGTCGTGCAAACCCTAAAAGCCAGGGGCAGGGGATTAAGGAATTGATTGATTCCTTAGGAATGCCCAAGGAATTAAGACAGTGTACTTTATTATCTTCAAGATAGACCAAAGGAAAAGAAAAGAGCTTCCAAAAAAGCCCCTCAGCTGACTGATGACAAAGATGCCAAACTCAAAAGACTATATTGTATGATTCCATTTACACGAAGTTCAGTAATGAATGGAGGTGATTATGGCGACCGAAGTCAGAAGAGCAGTAGCTCTGGTCTCTGGTCAGCGTGAGGGTGTCGACTGGGAGGGGGCATAAGGGCACCTGCCAGGTGGCTAGAAATGATTGGTTTCTTTATCTGGCTGGTGATTACATGGTCTATCCATACGAAAACTCACTGAGGTATACCATTAAGATCTGGGACCTTACGTAAGCTACCTTCCCTCTCTGATTCTTCACTGCAAAATGCAGATGATAAGACTCTCTCCCAAGGTTACAATGCAAAAAAGTCTTGGTATAGGGAGTCGGGCAGTTGGTAAATGTTCATGGTGAAAGGAGGTAAAGAAGGAAAGGACAGGGCTCAATGATGATGATAACAATGAAAATCGCAGCAATAATCAACTAGCTACCAATTTGAAGTCCTAACCACATGCCAGGCGCCGTGCTAAGCACTGCCGGAGCGCTCAGTCCTCACATCTCTATCAAATGGAACGACGTTTGTATGAAATGGATAAAATGACCCTTGATGTAAGCCAGAGAGAGAGGGGCTGCTTTTAAATAGCGCCTGGGGGCTGGGCAAAGCTTCTCAGTCAGTATTCCAGCCCCTAGCTCCAGGAGTTACTGATGTGGCTGTCAACCTGGTGGCCCCAGGTTCCACCGCAGCCCAAGGCAAATCCATGGGAGGGAGGTGAAGAAGGTAGAGAAGTAAGGACTTCGAAGTTATGCAGATCTGAGTTCAAATCCTAGCTCAGCCTCTGCTACTGTGTGATATTGGGCAAGTTGTTTAACCTCTCTGAGCTCTAGCTTTCTCATCTGTAAATGGAGTTAACAATATACCCTTGGCAGGACAGCTATAAAGAGTAGAGATTATATGTGTCACAAGCTTGGCACATATTAGTTGCTTATAACAATTATTGTTATTATTATTGTTTTCCCCAAATCACTCTGATATCAGCTTGCCCAGCTATACATGTCCACAGGAAAGAGAAAACCAGCACTCTACCCCAGCCCTGACTCATGGGGGCCAACCCAGGGCATGAGGCTGGCTTATTTACCTTCCCAGATATCTACTGAGGGTCTGCTTTGCACACAACACTGGCCCTTATCTGCAAGGCTATTAAAGAGGGATGGAGGCAGGAATAGATGAGCCCAGGCCCTCGGAGGGCACCACCCTGCCCCAGCTCCCACCAGCTGTCTTCGGCCCAGCTGCCCCTCCTCCCAGGCACCTCGCTCAGCCACCAGCAAGCAGCTACAGCAGGGCACATCTTTGTTTGTACTTGTCAAAGCTGCCTCTGATTAAACGCCATTACAGCCCTGGGCTCACTGGATCCAAAAAGATTAATGGATTTAAGGGTGCTGTCATAATGAAAATCCTACTGCAGCTGGCAGTAACTGAATGCCAGTAACCTGGCAGGGGGCAGATGGGAGTGAGAGGTCTCTGGGATCTTTCCTGATCAGCAAGTAGAGAGACGATGGAAAGGCTCTTCAGGAAAAGTTAGAAGTGACCTCCCCTTTCCTTCCCTCCCCCCCATTTCCCTCCCCCACTTCCTCCACTGGAGCCAAAGACTCTGTTCTCAAGGGTCCCAGTGGGCAAAGGGATCCCTGGCTAGATACAAGGCACACTCCCACCCCAACCGACAGGACAAGAGATGGGCAAGTAGGTCTCCTGCCTCCTCTGCAGGCAGCTCTGCCCTGACACTTCCCCAGCCCACTGAAGTAGAAGCTGACTCTCTCGCTCTCTCTCTCTCTCTCAGCTTTTCTCCCCATCTGTAAAGTGGAGGGCTGAATTAGAATGACAGTTCTCTTACCCTTTCCTCCCAGCCCCCCGAGCAGAACTCTTCCAGGAAAGCCCAAAAGCTGTGTATTTAACTCCAACGCTAGGCTGTGAGCTCCTGAAGGAAGGAAGTTATGTCTGGTTCTCCTCTGAACCCCATACCTAGGACTGACATAGCAGGAACTGTAAAAATAATGAATGTTGTTGTAAAAGTGCAGCTCCACCCCTACTTTTGGGACCTTATAGTGACAAAGAAGAAAATGGGGTATGGGCCCCACCACAGTGGCCAGCTTTCCCTAAGACCAATTGGGTGGGAGGTGGGCGACAGAAGCCCCTTTCATCCTGTTCTATGAAGTGGAAATAGTTGCCTACTGTTGTCCCCTTTTTGCCTGATACCTTGAGCACTGGGGAGAGGAAAGGGGAGAGCGTTGTGTCCAGGCTCCGACAGGCAGAAGGATTAAGTCGCATGGATTTCGCTCCATTATTCTCTGTGGCCACTTAGGCCTGTGAAGCTTGGATGGTACATGAAGACAGGTGGTAATCACTTGTCCAAGCAGGAGCTGCAAGGAGAGGCTGCAAACATGTGCGTGCACCCCACTTCATGCTGCCAACCCCAGCTTTAGGAGATAGGGCAGAGGGTTATACTAGATGACCTGGAAGGACACTTCATGCTCAGTGATTTTATAATTGTTCAGACAGCAGGCCCCTTTCAAGGCACTGAGACCTCACCTGGACACACCTGTCCTTGCTGGGCTGCCCCTACCAAACCCATGTCCTTCACACAGCCACCTTGAGCTCTCGGCCTCACCTCGTTGACATCGATCTTGTTCTTCTCCATGTAGTCTCTGTCATTGACTTGCCCACCATCCACAAACTCCATCAGAAGGACCCGCTTGGTAGACAGCTCCCAGTAGATTTGGGGGACCTGGAAATAGGAAAGCAGAACAGAAAAGTCTGGGAAACTGGGGGCCAGGGCTGAGGACCACCAAGAGGCACAGCAAGCCAGACAATAGCAGACACTCCTCTCAGCAACAGGAGAGAAGGCCTGAGCAGGACCTCAGCAGTGATGGGTGGGACAAGTGGGAGGCAGGCCAAGAGAGAAGGGCAGGATGCTCTGCCTCCTCCAGCTAGGCCCCAGCCCCGTCCTTTAGAGACTCCTTCCTGCTTAAGGACCAGAGAACAGCTTCCCTGCCATCCTCGGTGCATTCTGGATACAATTAAAAGCCAAAACTAAAATTGGGACTTGGGGGAAAATGTGGGGAACCTCTCACACCTGAGCCACAGTTGATGTTAAAAGCTATTTCCTTCTCTCACCAGGCTGATTTCAGGCTCCTCACAGGAATCTCAACCCTCTGCTTCAGTTTCTACACCTGTGCAATTATATGTTTTGTATGAATGAATGAATGAATGTTTACTGGATGAAATAGGTATGGCCATGTGACACGGTTCTGGCTTATGAGACATAAGTGGACATCTGCTAGTGGTTCTCGGAAGATTTTTATTTTCTTGATAAAAAAAGATATTTGTAGATGACGTAATTCTTCTTAGCCCTCTCTTCCTGGTGTGATACCTGGAGACCTGGTATGTGATACCTGGAGCCACAGCAGCTGTCTTGCACCCAGAGGAAAAGTGAAGGAAGTCACAGAGATGCCATTTTTGATACTGTCAAATCACTAAGATAATATCGGCTGGCAACTGCTCAAGCCCTCTTGCTACGTGAGCAAAATAAATCCTTTTTGTTTAAGACACTCTAAATTGGACTATCAGTTTCCTGAAGAAAATGCATTCCTAACGGATATCCTCTCCAACCCCCTCTGACTCTGAGAACACCCAATCGCCAAAAAGAGAACAGACTTCTCCCGGAACAGGCAAGATACTGGACGGCACCAAGAACTGCTGGGCTCCCGCATGAGCGAGCGACACCCTTCAGTCCCACCCCAGCAGCGGGGCAAGAATTACCGATGTCGGCATGCCACGTCTCCCCACCAACTGGATGGGCTTATGTCTACTTCCAAATAAAGAAACGAGGGAAGCTAACTAAGGTGTTTTGGAGAATAAGGACTTCCCTCATCTCAACCCCTGAAACTCATCCAGCAGTAAGATAGTGGCCATCAAGTCAAGAAACCGGTATCCTTTGCTAGTTCTGCTAATGACTGTTGTGTCTCAGTCCAGTTCCTGTAGGCCTGGGTCCTCATCGGAGAGGAGACTGTTCCTGCCCCATCTCAATAAGGATCTCTGAGGATGAGTAGGGCCCACATACAAGTGTAACACCCCGGGCTCCCTGGAACAAAGGTTCCAACTGCAATCAAGGTGTCATTTTGGTTTGCTACGTTCCTACAGTGTTTGCCATTTGAAAATCTGGGGCAATAGAGAAATCCGTGACTCTCTGTTACTTTGAATTTAAAATTCAGTCTTGCTTCGCATTTTTCAAAAAGTATTTTTAAAAACACAAACGCCAAGTTGACTGCTGTTGTTCGCGGCTTTAAAATGAAAGGGACATGTTTTGGGGTTAAGTTCTTCCCTAGGTTTATTTGGACCTAAGGCCTGGCAGTGGGCACCTGGGGCTCACCGTCAGACCTCCACCTGGGCCTACCTGGAAACAGCCATGAAGTGCCACTGACGGAAAGAGAAACGCACAGGCCGGAGACTCCCCGGGCTTGTTAATCAGTGTTATGGGCGGCCGGGTTCCCCCTTCCTCCACCTTTCCTCCCGCCTCTCCCCCAAGGCACCCATCTTGACAGGGGACACAAGATCAAGTGAATTGCCCCAAATCACCACGTGGGCAGGAGGGTTTGGGGTGTGAGATGAAATTCACTTTACCCCAATACCCGCGTTTCACCACTGCTCCTTCCTCTGCTTCTTCTGTCAAGGAACGGAAAGATGAAAGAGACAAATTTTAAAGAGATAATAAGAACCCTCCGCCGAAAATTAAACCCTGGGAGGCTCATGGCCAAGGTACGCACTGACCCCACAGGCAGGGTCAAACCCTGGCCATGAGGACCGCTGAGTCCAAGGTCTCCTTGTCATAGAGCAGAGGCCCCACTCCTGTGGGCTCCACCTGCCCCCACAATGGGGCCTGTCTTGACCCCAAGAAAGAGGCCATAGATTACACAAAGTTCCAGCTCAAGACCCTAGGCCTCAGCCTCATAGTCTGTCCCTGATTCCGTGCCTCTGCTTTGATCCTGTGCTTTAGTCAATGTGCCTAAAAAGCAAGCCCTGGATTGCCTCAGCGAGTGCCCACCACCCAGGGCCAAAATCCTCCCGCCACCCAAGCTCAGGGGCAGAGCGCAGACCCAGAGTCAGATTGTTGGGCTGGAGCCCCAGCTTTGCCACCTCCAGGCTGTGTAACTGTGGCTAAGTCTTATAACCTCTCTGAGTGCCAGCTTCCCCACCTGTAAGATAGTGATGAAGGTTACAATGGAATCAACACTCCCTACTTCCTCCTAGCATGTGTGGAGTTCTGGTGCTCAACCCAGAAGCACCCAGCAGCTGCTGGACAAACATCAGCTGCCATATGACGGCCATGTAGTTTCACATGTGGTTCTGATACACAACCAGGGCTGAGAGTTAATGTTACAGATAGTTTAGCACAATTCAGATCTTCCCCACAAATTGTAGCAGAGGCAGAATAGCACAGCGGTTTACTGCGTAGGTTCTGAAGCCAGACTGCCTCCATTCAGAGCCTGCATCTGCCCCTTATCAGGAGGCTGCGTAACCTTGGACAAATGGTTTCATCTCTCTGCGGCCCAGCTTCCCCATTAGTGATGTGGGGCTAATGTCCCCTTGTGGAGCTGTTATAAGGATTAAAGTGTAAACACATGTAATGTACTTTTTTAAAGTGCTTAACACAGCATAAGCATGTAAAAAATGTTAATTAATATTATACATCAGTGGTTCTTAATCTTTGAGATTCTGGGGAAGGTATGGCGCTTTTCCGAAAGCATGCACATCACCTAACAGGATTTGTCTACAATGTCTGGAGAGTTCCAGGCTCCTAACCTCCCACTAAGAAACTCTGGAGTGGCCCTCCTCCAGAGATGACCCCCATCCCCACCTCCATATGTAGAGATGTACTCTCATCTCTTCCAGTCCCAAACCCTGTGGTTATAAGGCTTCTCCCCACTACCTTGTCTCAGCTGTCTCTGAGGTCAGTTACAAATCTCACCGCTTGTCCTATCCCTTCCCCCAGTACACACTGATGCCAAATCCACAAACGCCCTGGTCTTGACCGTTCAGCCTGGCTGCCCCCTCACCTCTCCCAGTCTGCCCAACGCCACATTTGCATTCAGTATTTGTCTGAGGCTCAGAGATTTATAACACAGGGCTGAGGTTATTAAGCCCCACTGGAAGATGCCTCACACACTGAGAGGTAAATTCTTTGCTGAGGCTTAATTACGCACAGATGTTGAGATGGGGTGCCAGTGTGCAAAAGCAATCTATCTCCAGTTTTAAGAGCCGAACTGGGTTCACGGAGCAAAATTCACTTTCCACTCGTTATTTGTTTAGGCAAAATTAATTACTCAGGAGCCTTAACTCCACCATTGTCTTAGGAATGGTGTGCAGGTTTTAGAAGCAGCAGGTCCAATCGTTACATTAATTATTTACCCATTTGGCATCCTTGTTTCAAAAATGTGTATTATTATTATTATTATTATTACATGTCTTGGTCTGGCAGATGCTAGTTGGCCCCATCCAGGGGACGATTTTGCTGTTTCCATGGGAACAGTGGAAGAGATGGTTGTTTGTCTGGCTCATAGTTCTAGCTCTGAAGAGCACCCCTGCCAGGTAAGAGGCAACAGAATGTTCTTAGACAAGCACCAGAGTTGAAGCCTGAAAATCTGGGTTGCCTCTCTACTCTGACTGCCATCTGTAAAATGGGATGATGGTTGTTGGAAGAATTCAGTGTCATTGTCCCTGCACAGTGCTCAGTGCAGCAGAGGAAAGAGTCGGTAAATACTGTCTACCCACTTGAATAATCAACATGCCGTGGAAGTCTCAACGAAGCGCCGTACCCTGGTTGGATCTAAGCACTTCTTTTTGGGCATCCACAGAAATGCAGATAAGTCTCTGACAACATGCCCGACCTGCACCATAACAACACATTTTCGTGTTTGTCCCCCAGCTGGTGGAAACTTTTCCCAGGCAGGAGCCAACCATCTCTTATTCATCTAGACACCCTCCAGCAACTAGCACAACAACAGCCTCAGGAAATGCTCAGTAAATGTGGAATAAAGGAATAAAAGAAATGGGATATGCAAGTGAAAGCATATTTTAGACTCCAGAGCATTATGCTAATTAGTTAATATCATTACTTGTCTGAGAGAGCCAAGTTTTCATTGAATTGGTGGTTTGAACTTCAAGACTGGGGCAGTGTCACCAGATCTAGCTTGCATGTCTGGAATTATAGACACAAGAGGATCTGTACATCCACATCTATGATGGCAACCAGGAGAAGGCAGTCAAGCATACTTGGGGCATCTAGACAGACCTGACTCCCAACTCACTCGAAGAGTTAAACTTTGCCAGTGGCTACACCTTCCCCCAAAACCAATGTGTCAAGAGACCACCACACTGATCGCCATAGCGGTGGCTCTTTCTCCCATGAGTCATGCTTTAGAATTCTCAAGTGGCCAGGATAGACACAGCCCCAGTCTCCCCGTCTCTGTTCATCAATCTGGACAGCAGAAGTGGAAACACTCCCTCCATGATATGTTCAGAAGCCACATGAACACTTTAGTTCAGAGCAAGAGACCTCTCCATTCAATATCCTGAGAGGTCTCCCCAAGAGGGGTACTACTTGACCATCTGCTCTGGAACTAGCACCCAGAGCTCCTAAGAGCTCTGTGACTCCCCCTCCCGCATTCTGCAGACCTCCTGGGTGAACAGACCAGGGCTGCCCTCTTCCAGCAGACCACCGTGCCCCATGTCCTGCACCTCCTACCTTTAAGAAGTCAAAGTGCTTGAGCATTTGGGCCACTTTCTCTGCGTTCCTCCCTTCATTGAGGAAATCCAGCTCCAAAGGCAGGTTCTTCTTGGCTTCATCCACCAGCCACATGAACTCGAACTCTGGGAACAGCTGCTTCACAGCCAGGACAAGCACCTACAATCCACCAAACACCCCATCAGTCAGCCCATGACACCCGCCAAGCACCCTGCCACCCTCCCAGGCCTCCACTGGAGTGAGAGTGGGTAGGAAAACTGCTCCCCTGGGGCCCATCGCTATAGTCCAAATCCAAGCGACAAAAACTCAACAGCTGCCAGCGTAACAACCACCACTTGCTGAGTGCTCCCCATGTGCTCAGTACTGGCTCAGCACTTAACTTAGTTACTTCGCTTCATTTTCACAACTCTGGGAGGTACACAGGATACACTCTTACCATCTCCCCATTTTACAGATGAGGAAGTTGAGACTCTGAGAAGTTTTATGATTTTTCTAAATTTGTCCAGCACAGAAACAGATTCCACCTGGGTCTCCCCTTGCTCTCAAGCGTCACTGAAC